ATAGAAGTGATCAGGTAACTGGAGCTCCTGGGATGCCAGGGCTGGAGTGAGCAGAGCTTGCCTGCCTTGAACAATCAGGGGGAGGCGAGCTCCTTGCCAGAAGTTAGGAGCTACAGACCCTCCTCCTCTTGCCTCTCTGCCTCTGTGCTCAGTGTGAGGGAGTCTGAGTGATGGTAGGGCCGGTGATTCCTCACCCACTCCCTCTCCTGGGTGCTGTTCATCCAGCCTCTCGGGTTGCCTAGCCTGGCTGAGTGGGGCGGTGTCAGGCAGGGGCAGTGTTTCACCCTCCTTCCTTAGCGCTTTCTGGGCTTCTCTCAGAGCCCTCCCCTTGGAATGAGGAGTTTGGGAGGTGCGCTGTTTGCTCACTGGCCTGTTGATTAATCTCCCTCTTGCCTGACTGAACTACCTTAATGCCAGGGGAGGATATCCCAGAAACTCCTGGCCGTGGTGCAGAGGACACGCTGGCTGATCAGGCTGCCAATGAATGGGGCAGGAGTGGCAGACCCCAATCACTTCCGACCTGCTGGCCGGAGAGGAGAGGAGAGGAGAGGAGAGGAGAGGAGAGGAGAGGAGAGGGGAGGGGAGGGGATGGCTGGGGAGGGAAGGGGAGAAAAGAAAGGAAGATCAGGTGAGGAGTAGGCCAAGGAGTGTTTTTTAAACTTACTGTTTTCTCTTTCCCAACAAGATTGTCATTTCCTTTAAAAAGTAGTTATCCTGAGGCCTATAGTCATGAAGGTGCCTTATCTCCTCTGATCTAGGGAGGTAAGCAGGGTTGAGCCTGGTAGTACTTGGATGGGAGACTACCTGGGAATACCAGGTGCGAAAGAAAGAAAAGAAAAGAGGAAAGAAAGAGAGAGAAAGAAAGAGAGAGGAAGGAAGGAAGGAGAAAGAGAGAGGAAGGAAGGAAGGAGAAAGAGAGAGGAAGGAAGAGAGGAGGAAAGGAAGGAAGGAAGAAAGGAAGGAGGGAGGGAAGGAAGGAAGGGAGAGGAAGGAAGGAGAAAGAGAGAGAGGGAGGGAAGGAGGAAGGAAGGAGGAAAAAGAGAGAGAGGAAGGAAGGAGAAAGAGAGAGTAAGGAAGGAAAAAAATGAAAGAGTGAAAATGAACAAGAGAAGAAGAAACCACAGTTGCTGCTATGTCCACCGGCCTCTCTGCATGTCCTGGCCTCAGCCCTGCTGGGCTCTGGTACTGACACATCCTTTCTTCCTTCCTAATTTCCTAATTGACTAGGCCAGCTGAGCAGGGCTTTTCTGTGCCGAGGAGGTAAATCTCGGGATATCTAGACTGAGGGGTGGAAGGAGCCTTCCAGGGCACACATGAGACATGGCAGGGCTAGGCTGCCAGTTTTATTTTGTTTTGATTTAGAGACACGGTCTTGCTCTGTCACCCAGGCTGGAGTGCACTGGCATGATTATAGCTCACTGCAGCCTTGACCTCCTGGGTCTCCAGCAATCCTTCCGTTTCATCCTCTTGAGTAGCTGGGACCACAGCTGCACACTACCACAGCCGGTCCATTTATTTTTATTTTTGTAGTGACAAGGTCTTACGATTTTGCCCAGACTGATCTTAAACTCTTGACCCCAAGTGATCCTACTGCCGTAGCCTCCAAAAGCATTGGGATTACAGGAGTGAGCCACTGTGCTGGACTTAGTCTGTCAGCTTTGAAGCTTTACATATGAACTCAGAGGGACTTGATTTCAGAGGCATCTGCCATGTGGCCCAGCAGGGCCCATCCTGAGGAAATGACCAGTATAGTCAGGAGCTGACTGCAGAGCTGCCCTCCACACCTTCCAGAAGCCCAGGTGCCACCATCATGGGGCTCCCACTCTCAACTCCGCAGCCTCAGCCCCCTCAATGCTGAGGAGCAGAGCTGGTCTCCTGCCCTGACAGCTGCCATGCACAGCAAACCTATCGTGTTCCCACAGGTTGCACAACTGGGATAAATGACCCGGGATGAAGAAAACACTGGCGTCCAGGAACTTGTCTTAGACAGTCTTGTAGGGGAAATGACCTGCAGGGACTTTCCCCAGGGACCACATCCAGCTTTTCTTCCCTCCCAAGAGCCCAACAGGGAAGGCTCAGCATAAATAGCAGCCACCTCTCCCTGGCAGACAGGGACCCGCAGCTCAGCTCTAGCATAGATCAGGTGAGGAGCACGCCAAGGAGTGATTTTAAAACTTACTCTGTTTTCTCTTTCCCAACAAGGTTGTCATTTCCTTTAGAAAATAGTTATCCTGGGGCCTACAGCCATACCATTCTGAAGGTGTCTTATCTCCTCTGATCTAGGGAGGTAAGCAGGGTCGGCCTGGTAGTACTTGGATGGGAGACCACCTGGGAATACCAGGTGCTAAAAGCTTTAAGAATAAAAAATTGTGATCTTACTTTGTGTTTGTCCCATGTTGAGTTCTGTGCTGGGCAGAGGGAACACACGGTAAATGCGTTGTTGGGAATTACAGGCTACTTGAGGGAGTGACAGTCTGGTCGTAACTCCCGCCTTCCTCCATCAACACCACTTTGGCATCCTCTTACACAGTCAGGCTTTAGGGCTGATGGGTTCAGAACCAAGGGCTTCTGGCTCTGAGTGAGGTCCTGCTGCAAGGTTTCCTAGATGAGCCACTAAGATTCTAATAAGATCCAGTGGAAATAACCAGGCTCTCGTTGGAATATGAGTCCCAAGGAAAGCTGTGCCACTCTTGTGGGCGACTATCTGACTTCTCCTTTCATTTCAGCACCATGAAGCTTCTCACGGGCCTGGTTTTCTGCTCCTTGGTCATGGGTGTCAGTAGCCAAGGCTGGTTTTCCTTCCTTGGTGAGGCTTATGATGGTAAGGCTTCAGAAAGTATGCAGGATTTCTGAAGAGAAGCATCATCCTGAACCTGATCAAATGGGGGAAATAATGCTTTCGGAAGGCTGCTTTTGAACCACAGAGTTGCTAGTGTCTGCGTTGCTAAGGCCTGTCATGAACTAGGCTTTGCTGGATTGCCCATCTCAGGTCTTTCAGAGCTGCTGGGAATATCTTTTTTCCCCGTAGTGCAGCTTCTCGGTGTGTTCAGCGGATGGATCACGTTTCAGAAGCCGCTGCAAGGTGTATCAAAAACACATCTCCTGAGCCGTAAGGGACGGGAGATCCAGTAACAATGCACACGGGGTATTTTTGTGCTTTCTTAAGGTTTGAGCCGCTGCCTTAGGTTGTGGTGCCCAACGTGCAGGATGTGCCGGGTGTCTGGGGAGCTGCTCAACAGCTTAGAGAGTCAGTCAGTTACTCAGAGAAAGAACAATCATCCTTTCCAGGAGCAGCTGAGCTGTTTGTTTTGAGTAGAAGATGCAAAATAAGGCCTGCAATTGGTATAAAATGTCCCTCAGCATAAATCTCATAAGAGCATGACTAAGGCTGTTGACCCTTGTGTCTTCTTTCTCCTTCCTCCTTTGCTTTCCTAGTTGGATAATGTACAGGGCTCTTTAGCCTCGCTCTGTCAGGGGCTCCCTTCCTGGTTTGTTCCATTTCCATTCCTTCTCCAGCCTTCTTGACAGGAGATGGGAACTGATGTGCATCAAACTCCCACAAGGATCAGAGCATTTTCTCATTGAATTTCAGAATGACTCTGTGAGGCAGGCATCTTCCCCTCCTTGAAGGTGAGAAGGTTAGAGCAGCTGAGACCACTGACCAGGGACTTACTGCCAGTCAGCAGGTGGCAGAGCAGAGGTTTGAGCCCAGCTGTACTTGAGGTCAGAGCTCTTGCCAGGTAGACGCATCACTGACCAGCTCCTAGAGCTTGATGGTTATGAATCTCAGGCACGCCTTGGCATCACCTGAACTACCCACGCCTGCAACTCCCCAACAGAGTCTGCAGAAACTGGCCTGGGGTGTGGCCTGGGCATTGGGACTTTCAGTTTCTCTCTGGGTGATTAGAGAGTGCAGCCAAGGCTCACACCTGTAATTCCAGCACTGTGGGAGGCCAAGGTGGATGAACCACTTGAGGTCATGAGTTTCTGAGCATCCTGGCCAACATGGTGAAACCCTGTCTCTACTAAAAACAGTAAAATGTAGCCAGGCGTGGTGGCAGGCACCTGTAATCCCAGCTACTCGGGAGGCTGAAGCAGGAGAATCACTTGAACCCGGGAAGCAGAGGTTGTAGTGAGTTAGATCGTGCCAGTGTGCTCCAGCCTGGGTGACAGAGCGAGACTCCGTCTATAAAAACAAAAAAAGAAAGTGCAGCCAAGGCTGAGCACCACTGCTCTATTACTTCCTCAAGCAACCCACAGCATCAGTATAGCCTACTGAGAAAGTGTTTACGGACTTTTATGCTCCTAGCAGTCACTGGGACTCAGGTCACAATGACGTGTATCCCATTTGTAAGAATATATACTTTAGGTCCGGGTGCAGTGGCTCACGCCTGAAATCCCAGCACTTTGGGAGGTCAAGGCGGGGCATCACGAGGTCAGGAGCTCGAGACCAGCCTGACCGACATGGTGAAATCCCCATCTCTACTAAAAATGCAAAAATTAGCCAGGTGTGGTGGCACATGCCTGTAATCTCTTCTACTCAGGAGGCTGAGGCAGGAGAATCTCTTGAACCCGGGAGGTGGAGGTTGCAGTGAGCTGAGATAGCACCACTACACTCCAGCCTGGACGACAGAGTAAGACTCCGTCTAAAAAAAAAGAATACATACTTTAGCAGTCAGGGCAGAAGTGCTCTGTGTCTGCCACCTTTCTCAGCATCAGTATTTCATGTCACCACCTCATTCCTATATACTCCTGGATCTTATCACAGACAGCTTCATTCTATAGCAGTGGCTCTTCACCAGGGGACCTGAAGAAGCCAACTAGGATAAAGGAATGTGCTTCTCAACCCACCGTATCCAAGGCTGCTATGATCACAGGCTGAAAGCTTGAAGTCAGTGGAAGATTTGTCCTTCTTTCATTCCCCTCTAAGGTGTTGTTGGATTCTTCATGTTCTCCTGATGTCCCTTCTGCCTTTCCTTTCCTTTTCAGGTGCTCGGGACATGTGGAGAGCCTACTCTGACATGAGAGAAGCCGATTACATAAATGCAGACAAATACTTCCATGCTAGAGGGAACTATGATGCTGCCCAACGGGGACCTGGGGGTGTCTGGGCCGCAGAAGTGATCAGGTAACTGGAGCTCCTGGGATGCCAGGGCTGGGTGAGCAGAGCTTGCCTGCCTTGGACAATCAGGGGGGAGGCGAGCTCCTTGTAGAGAAGTTAGAGGCTACAGACCCTCCTCCTCTTGCCCTCTCTCTGCCTCTGTGCTCAGTGTGAGGGTCTGAGTGATGGTAGGAGCGAGTGATTCCTCACCCTCCCTCTCTGGGTGCTGTTCATCCAGCCTCGGGTTGCCTAGCCTGGCTGAGTGGGGCGGTGTCCAGGCAGGGGCAGTGTTTTCACCCCTCCTTCCTTGGCCTTTCTGGGCTTCTCTCAGAGCCCTCCCTTGGAACGGGGAGTTTGGGAGGGTGCGCTGTTGCTCACTGGCCTGGTGATTAATCTCCCTCTTGCCTGACTGAACTACAGCAATGCCAGGGAGGATATCCAGAAACTCCTGGGCCGTGGTGCAGAGGACACGCTGGCTGATCAGGCTGCCAATGAATGGGGCAGGAGTGGCAAAGACCCCAATCACTTCCGACCTGCTGGCCTACCTGAGAAGTACTGAGCTTCCTCTTCAGTCTGCTTTCAGGAGACCTGGCTGTGAGACCCTCAGGGCAGGGACACAAAGCAGGGAGAGGGCACACAATAGGTATCTAATAAATACTTAAGAGGTGGAATTTGTGGAAACTGTGTTATTCTTTGTGGTATAGACTGCCTGTTTAGTACGAAGGGGTGATCCATGCACATCTAGGCGAAAGTGGAGCCTGGGTGGGTGGGAGACAACTCCTGGGCACACAGGGCATCCTGGGCATCCCTGATCAAGGGCATGATGAGTTCAGTGACCACCCCCACAGGATCCCAGGGGCTTCAGCAGCATCCCACCCCTTACCCCATGTGAGCAGCTGCCCAGTGAGTTTGTAGGAACCCCAGCCACATTCCCAGTGAGTTCAACTGCACCCCGGCACGTTTTGCTGTCACCTCAATGGAGAGCTCCTTGCTTGTCAGCTTTGGCTTGTGGCACCCAGCAAAAGCTTCCTGCCACTCAGTGGCTATAGCCACACACTCTCCAGCAAGATTTAATCTCAGCCTTGTGAGGAGCCCTTTCCCAAATGTATTTCTATGTTCTTTATCCCTTAGTAGCTAATCTCATGTTAGTTGGTAATAACTCTGTTAAACCCGTCCTTTTATATCTGTGGCTACATCGATCAATTGTCTTACACCACTCACCCACCCCCTCGCCCAGGCCATGCAGAGGCCTCGCCAGTCGTTTTATTGCTATTCCCAGGCCTCTGTGTGCCCAGATCTCTTCACTGCCCTGTCAGTTGTGTCCCGTCCCCTTCTCAACCTCCTGGCCTTGTCCTCAATGACCTTTCCATGAGGCTTTGGAAAGCCTCATCCCAAGAGTCCTGGCAACTGATACAATTAGTCTCATCAACACTAGCCCCTACTCCTGATCTCATTTTAAAATTTTATTTTCTTATTTTCTTATTTTTTGTTTAGGAACATCACCCTGCTTCCGACTGACCCAATTTTTAAAGTTTCTCTTTATTCTCCCTAAAGAATGGCTCTCCCATTTGTTTCCCTCATCTTTTTTTTCACTGACTTAGAATTCATGTCCAGACAAAAATTCTACTTCCTTGAAGAGCCTTCCCAGTAGCCATGAACCACACTCTGGGGCAGTTTGTGGCTCCCGAGCACTTTGTTCACACCTGCTGGTTCATCTTTACCCCCTAGTCTCAGAACTGGTTTTGTATGTCAGTTCCCCTGCTGGACTGGAAGTCCCTCTAACACAGTTAGCATTTGAACAGTTTATAAAAAACACTTTCATTTCTATGGTCCTGTGTAACTGTTCACAAGATACATTAGTCTCACTCATTGTCGTTTGACAATGTTTATTGCTCTAAAGAGGAAGCGAGACATGTAGGTGGACACAACACAGTAAGAGCCTCAATACAGGCACACAGTGGTGGCAGTTCAACTCTGCTGGAATATGGAAGGCCAGTGAATAGTAACTAGAATCACTGCCATCTTTTACATTGCAATTGCAAGACTGTGTCCTATACTTTATATGCTTTATCTGATTGACACCGCAAAGAAACCTTTGATGTTCTCAGGTGGATAAACAGGTTTAGAGGTATGTGCGCAGGACCTTCTCCAAGGTCACACATGTAACAGGTGCAGAGCCAGGACTACAGGCTGGTTTGTCTGACTCCAGAACCTGCAATACACTGAACAAGGCCAAGAGGTTCAGCAGTGGAGCCCTCCTCTCTTCTTCAGGAAGATAGGGAACATGGTAAGAGCAGTGAATTCCATAAGCATGGGACCCCATCATACTTCATTTTTTGTAAAATTAGTTCCTTGATTAGAAGCAATGCCTTTGGGTCTCTCACTATTGAATAAGTGTGGATGTGCCACTCTCCCTAGTACCCCAGAGTGCAGTTGGAGGCTTGCCTAGAAACTAGAGGTTGAGGATCCTTCAGTAGTTCCTATACCAAGCCATAAGCCATGTTGCATCTGGAGATAGGGTCAGGGAGCTCTGCTGAACAGATGGGGAGGACATCAGAGTGGGAGGAAAAGGAAGCAGGTCGTGTGGGGAGAGAGAAGACTCAGCCTGCCATGATGGCTGGGTAACTACTGTTTCTTTCTTTCTTTTTTTTTTTGAGACAGAGTCTCGCTCTGTCGCCCGGGCTGGAGTGCAGTGGCCGGATCTCAGCTCACTGCAAGCTCCACCTCCCGGGTTTATGCCATTCTCCTGCCTCAGCCTCCCTAGTAGCTAGGACTACAGGCGCCCACCACCTCGCCTGGCTAGTTTTTTGTATTTTTTTTAGTAGAGATGGGGTTTCACTGTGTTAGCCAGGATGGTCTCGATCTCCTGACCTCGTGATCCGCCCATCTCGGCCTCCCAAAGTGCTGGGATTACAGGCTTCAGCCACCGCGTCTGGCCGTAACTACTGTTTCTTATCTAATACACCCTCAACTTAGATAACAGACTAAGCCTAGGTGACAAAACCTCAAAGAATAGCAGAGTCTCCCCACTGCACCCGCTTCCCACCTCCGCCACCTTTCCACAATTCTTAGCAAGGGTTCTCCTGAAAAGAAAGCAGAAACAAAGTCTTGCGTGCAGGTATTTTATTTGGGGAATGAACCTGGGGAGCAGGAGTGAGACAGTGGAGTAAAACAGGGAGGAGCAAAGCCAATACAGGGACACATTATACAGCTGGCCATGCAGAAGAGCTACATAACTGATGCCAATGGGACCTTCAGAGGAACGTGTAAAAAGTGTCTTAGTGCTCTCCATTAGGAGTCCAAAATGAAAGGCACCTAGCAATTGGCTTCCATCTCCCTTTGGTCAAAGGTGGCCCCACCATTGTTAACTTTTCTGCATTTCTTGGCTATGCACACATGAGTGCCCAGTGGGTTTACCTGGAGTAGGAAGTAGAAGGTCCACGGAGCAGACCCAAAGCAAGGTGCTGCCAGGTTGTACCTGCATGAAATGAATCAAAGCCTATGGTGGAACTCATCGCTGTAGCAGTGGCTGGAGAAAGGGGAGGGGGCCAGCAGGTCCGAAGTAGTTGATAGGCTGCATCTGATACACAGTGCAAAGCTTTGCTTTTTGAAAGTAAGGTCTGGACACAGCAAGTTCACTCAGGAACAAAGGAATGGATTGGATCTTAAGACTGAAAATAAAAGAGACAAGAAGAAACTATACTGGGTAGCCAAGATGGGGAAAGAGGCAGGGCGACTGGGAGAGACAGAGAAATGTAAACCACCATGGACTAATGAAATCTGCCATAACCCTTGTGGTCCCACACAGATGCCACTCCCAGGGGGAACATGATCCGGAGCACGGTGCTCCATAAGACACTGAAGGAATTTAGGGATGCTATGGGGCTTTAACAGGTTTAGGGACATGGTGACTTTCCTAGCAACAAGACTGTAACACACTACATAATCTTTTGCTTGAAACAACTTTTTTTTGTTCTCTTACAACATAGGTACTTTGTTAGAGGTTGGGGTAAAATGAGGGTAATATGATGGCCTTTATGGTTAGGGGATACAAGGAATACATGAATCTTATGCCCAATCAAACCCACAAGGTCCCCAATGGAGATAAGTTCTGAGGACAATGACCAGTACTCTACTGTTGGTTGGGGTTTGGCCCCAAACTTCAAAGCAGAACTCCGGTAAGTTGGGCTGCACTGCACAGTCTGGGCTAGAAGTCTAAGAGGACTTCTTTCAAAATCAGTCTCCAACCCCTCAGATCAGAAAGGCCATTCCAGTCAGTCCCCACCAACACTGGAGGAAGCGAACCAGAGAGCATGAGCTTGTGTTGGACCCACTCAGAGCCAAGTTCCCACTGTGCACCTCATAGGCTTTTTCCAAAATTAGAAAAGGACAGACCGACTGGTGAGACCTGCTCTCCTTCACTTCCATTAGTAGGGTAAGGCTAACTTGCTTTAACAAAGATACTCCAAAATACAGAATGTTAAGGAATATACAAACTTACGTCACACTTAACAGTTTGTGATGAGTATTTCAGCTGCCAGGGACTTCCACTCCATACTTTCAGGTTCCTTCCAAGTTGTTGGCTCTACCATACTTTAGACTGACCCTTGCTACTCAAAGTGTGATCCAAGGACCAGAGGCATCAGCATTGCCTGGGATCTTGCCAGAAATGGACAATCTTAGGCACTACCCTAGATCTACTGTGGCAGTCAGGAGCTCCTACCTAATTTGTAGGAACTACTGCAAAATAAAAATGTGGGAACTTGTTGAGAAGCCAAAATGGAAAAAAAATGTGGGGACCCTTGTCCATCAATTATTAAAAATTTCAAAAGAGTGAAAGCAGAACATTAAACCAAGTGGGGGGCCCTCATAAGCTTGGGGTTCTGACAATTATATGGCCCTCGCATCCGTGTGAGGCGGACAGAATCCTGAGGACATTTCAGCAGGTGGGCAATGGGTGAAAAGCCACGCCAGGGTTGAACAGGAACATATGCAAAAAGTGCAAAGTGCAGAACGTACGCAAGGAACGGAGGACCCAGGACAAAGGATAAACTTGGGCTCTGAAACTGAGAAAAAGTTTGAATAGATCACAGAGGGCCTTAAATGCCAAGCCCAAGGGCTTGGGCTGTACTCTGAAAACAGAGGGGAGGTGCTGAAAGTCTCTGACTGGGAAGTGGCACGACTGGGCCCCAAGAAGACAAAGATTCTGGCAGTGCATCTGCAAGTAACTTCCCATGAGAGCAAGATAAACACTCTTTCTCAGGGGCTGTGGTACATCTACACACAAGGATAACTCAATATCTAAATCTCCGAACAGTGTGGGGGTGGAGGGCAAGTTGAGGGAGGTTAAATTAGTCCATTGAGGCCGGGCACAGTGGCTCACGCCTGTAATCACAGCACTTTGGGAGGCCCAGGTGGGCAGATCAATTGAGGTCAGGAGTTCGAGATCAGCCTGGCCAACACAGTGAAACCCCATCTCTACTAAAAATACAAACATTAGTCAGGCATGGTGGCGAACACCTGTAATCCCAGCTACTCGGTAGGCTGAGGCAGGAGAATCACTTAAAACCAGGAGGTTGCAGTGAGCCGAGATCACATCATTGCATTCCAGCCTGGGTGACAGAGCGAGCCTCCATCTCAAAAATAAAATAAAAATAAAAATAAATTAGTC